CCAAAATAACTCTATTTCTAGATTCTTTCCATATTATTCAATCCAACTTCTTAAAAGATAACTAAAACTCCCTATTTTATCGTTTTCACCTACGTGACCAATTATTTTACCTAGTTTTAACCTAACCTGAACTAATCCGTATTTATCTTTTTCCTTTCTAAAACAAAAGATAACTACCATAACACCCAAGCCATACCTTAATAAAACGATCAACCTATTCTATAGTACCCACGTTTTTACCATAGCTCCTAAAAGATATATTTAAATGATTCTACTTCCAAAAAGATAAAGTCTATTCCTAAGATTAACAAAATAAAAATAAAAGAGAAGCTTCCTAAAAATTTAAACCTTAATCTTAAAATAAATAATATTCCTAAAAACCAACCCAAAAAATCTACCCACATATATAAAAATAAATTTAACAAAAAAAATAGAATTAAAATTTGTAGCAACCAGATTTGATCTGCATCAAATCTACATGCTTATGAAATTTGGTTCTGAGGAACCTCTACTTTCTCAATGGGCTTATGCAATAGTATAAGCATGTCGCCTTATATGTAGGGTTTTAAAACTGGAATCTCTCTCAGACTTAGTCCCCCAATTTATTGACAGGTTTAAATTTGCAACATAGCCATTTTAAGTAAATGTCTTTCTCCACAATCAAAAGGGAATTGGGCGTGATCTTACGGCTATCATGATGACATTCACCCAAGAGGGCCTACTTCCAAATGAAGAATAGATGCCAATCATTGAGGAGGATGCCACACCTCAACAAGTAGAGGATCTTGATTAAAGTGGATCTTGAAGAAGAAGGTGATCCAGTGCCAACTTATCAGCTATTCCCTTCTAGGTCGGCCAACTTGGCAAGGTTGGACAACAAAATTTTATTTAAAATAAAAATAAAAACTAATGTGAACATCTTGATATAGGGAATCCCTAGAATCAGATTTCTCCCTGATTGATCCTTAGTCGAATCGGGTGATTCGAGTTCAATGTGGCGATTTTTAAATTCACACACACACATGTAGATATGCACATATTGTTTAATTAACAACACAGCAAAATACTGATCTTAATGTTAGGAGTTGAAGATAAGTGTTTTTATAAAAAATAATTATTTTTTGGGTAAAAATTATATTTTATTATTAGTAACATCATGTTGTGCCCTGGGCCTTTTGCTCTTCTCATTAAGTAATGGTTTGCTTGAAATCTAGGTTTGAAAAAGCGAATCGGTGACCAGGATCACCCGTCTGGATTTTTGATCTGGTTCGGCGGATCGGCAATCTAGATCTGCAATCCTCGACCGAACTGGCCAATTTAGTGACTAATAACAGGTGGAGCTAGTTCGTACCAGTTCCCTAATAGAACTAGCAGGTTCCATCAGAAAACCAGTACGAACCAGCCGGTTCATGGGGAAAACCGATCGATTCTCGACATTTTACGGGATTCGGATCAGCTTGATAGATTCTCGAAATAATCTTAGCCTTAGCTCACTCACCTTGGTAGGTGATTGCCACTCGGCTCTGATTTTGCCCATCCGACAACGCCCTCCTCCGATCAAATGCCGCAAGAACATGCGTCTACTCCAAAGCAGCATTTCTCTTTCTTTACAGATTTGCTGGTTCCGATCTGGATCATCAAGTTTTTAAACTGTGTTTAAATTTTTTACAATAGTACAATCGAATTTTAGAAGCAATGTCTTGGAAGTTCATTAGTATAAATACTATTGACTTTTAGTGAAAATCTTAACCATGTCCTTATAAGATGACAAAATTATCCCTTGTCATGTGGCTTTACTTAACGAGCAAGCTATCCATAAAAAGTATCTCTTTTTAAAGAAGAAACCATATCTTTATCATATTCATCTTTCACAATTTATTCTACTATTAACCTTTGTATTTTGAAGAGTCTTTATGTGTATCACATACACACACACACTCACACTCACACTCACACTCACATACATATGTAGACACACACATCTTTCTCTTGTACATATAAATTTATTATTTTTTCACCCTCGCTATGTTACCTTATTAAAAAAGAAAATGGAAAACCATTGCCCTTTTACCTTTTCCCCATCTAGAAACATCACCTCTATCTATTCTCTCTCCATTCGAGAATTATTCCTTCTTAATTATAGAAAACCTCTAAGGCATTATTGCTTCTTATTCCTGTGATGGTTCATTGGTTGTTGGTTCTCTGTTCTATTACTGCTTGTGTTATCGGTAGTTTATAAGTTTATTATGGTACTAATCATAGTTTATGGGATTGCCTTCCTTGCTTGGCGATCCCTTGCAGAACCTCGATTCTCTCGATCACATAGCGGATCTCGTCTGAAACTCAATTTAGTGTTTTCAGGATCTCGCACCATGTTATAAGTGAACGAGTTCCTTATAATTTAATTCCACGGTCCTAAACACTATAGGATCTAGTTCCCTAGTCTTATGGTTCGCGCTCCAGAGTACATTGGGATCTAGATTCCAAATAACGGAACACAAGCATCACCATATTTGGCATCCAGATCCCACCAATATGGGATCTCTTTAAAGTTCCTTATTTATTTCATAGAAGACTAAGCCAACATGTTATTGGTTAACAACGCCAGGAGCTACATTTTTAAGCCATAGATCCATATTACCTACACAAGGAACTCGTGTTTTAAGAAAATGGAACTTGCTCCTATAAAAGTTATTCATCACTCCATAATATGTTGGATCACTTTTACTAATGTGCTCCTTGAGTTAAGAAACTAAAACAAATGCCCTTGGGAACTTCACTTCTTGCGTACAGGATCTCGCGCCTTTATATAATAATTTTCTATCCTATGTAGTAAAGGAGCTCGATCCCCAATATACATGGACCTTGATCCCGAACTTTGAGGTTGTATGGGCATCGATCCCTAACAAATGGATCTTCAGTATAGCTTCGATCGATCCCGCCCCCGATCCTAGAGCCATTCCCGTTACCGCACTCAACAACTATGGTACTAATTATGCATTATTTTTTAGGGTTTATCTTTTATTGTTATAGAATTAAGATCTAAAACCTTTTTGTTTGAGAAGCATTTTGTTATATTTTCATTTATCTAATTTTTAAATTTTTTTTGAAATGTTCTTTAATTCAATTATCTTATAATTTTGGATTAGTTAACTAAATAATAGATTATGGATTAGTTAAATAAATAATTCAATGATATATTTTTATTTTGGTGGATATTTTATTTTTAGTGCTTTGTTTGAGTTGGGTTTGGGTCCAAATCTAGCATCGCCGAACCGATCAGGTCAGGCTTGAGTTCTCTGGAACCTTGCCATGTCAGACTTGAGTAGCGATGATTTGGAGCTTGGCGGTCCAGGTCCCCCAAACTGCAGTCAGGTCAAGTATGGGTTAGGCTTGACCCTATCCTAACCGGCCCATTTGCAGCCTTAGACAAACTGACAAACTCATGACTCCACTCAACTAGTAGTGAGTAATATAGAATTCACAATCATGGGTAAGCTATTTGGTGAGTTGGTTGAGTCATGTGTGCTACTTAATTTACATGGGATATAGGACCTGAAACTTACCTCAACTCGTTCCAACTCCATTTCTGCCTCAGACCCATTACTTGGAGCTTCAAAAATAGTGCAAATTTGATGGCTTTTGAGTAATTGAAAATGAACTGTGCATAAAAAATAAAAGAATAGACCATTTTTTAGGCTCAATTTTCTTTTTTTTTCCTCAAATTTCTCCTTCCTTTCCCTAATCCTCCCCCTCCCTCCCTCCCTCTCTCTCTCTCTCCC